GAATCTAATTATTATAGTAGGTTTGGCTTTATCCGTGTTCCTGGGTAGTGTGTGGCATATGGATATTGCCTCACTTAATGGTTATGTCCTTACTTTGCAGAAAGCCTACCACTTGTTGCTCCAGCAACTGTAATTCCTCCTGCGGTGCATCCTCTGTTGTGTCAGCATTAACTGCAGCTCTGGCATAACTTTGATGTTGCGTTTCCAGCCCAGTTATCACCAGGTCCTCTCTCCGCGTGTACTGCTACAACTCGTCAATCCTCTCCTCCAACAAAGCTATCTTCTTGTCCCGTTCCGTCAGCATTGTTTGTAGTGATTTCACTTCATTGACAAGCTTAAACAAACGCTCCTGCTGCGATGTTAACTTTGTCAGCTCACCCAACATAAAGTTTAGGGAGCGCTTGATATCCTCCATGTCCTCCGCAGCCGGCATATCTTTGTGTGTTTTTTAGGCATTTAGTATTATTTAACCCAATCTTCAGTTGAATGGCTAGTGCTAGCCGGGCTAGCAAGTTGCGTCAGGGTTCTCATTCTGCCTGCAACTACGTCTCTCAGTTCCGCACTCTGGCAGCTTAACTACAGTGGGGAGACGATGCTCTCAAGGCAGTCTTCATGGAAGGACTATCCCCCTATATAAGGGACAAAATGGTTGGACACGAGGCTCCTTCGACGCTGGACGCGACAGTGAACTTAGCCCTACAGATCGACCAGAGGTTGATTGTCCGGCCACAGACCACGTCACGCACCACTAGACCCTGGGGGACCCCTCGACCAGCTCCTGAGCTAGGGACCGGTTCACAACGGCCAACACCGCCCGAGGAGCCCATGCAGCTCGGATGTGTAACTCCTGAAGAGAGGCAGTGTCATTACTGTGAGGGCTGCTGCGCCTACTGCGGCTCCCCGGACCACAGTTGCCTCCACTGCCCTCTGAGACCGGCAAATGACAGCACCAGGCAAACCATAGGAGGGTTTTATCTGGTGCCATGACACTTCCTCCTGACCAATGCACCCTGATATCAGTCACCCTTCATCTGGACCAAGGACTGGTCTCTTTGCACGCTCTGTTGGACACTGGGACAGCTGAAAGCTTCCTCGACTGCTAACTAGCCTCACGCCTCAACATCCTGACTACTACCCTGAATCAGGTCATACCAGTAACCGTGGTGGATGGTCACCCAATCCACCCATTTCTAGTTCAACATCGGACCTCCCCGCTCACCATGCAAATTGATGACCACAACGAAACCATCCACTTTTTACTCATAGACACTCCATCCTCGCAACTCATCTTAGGCCACTTCTGGTTTCGAACCCATGACCCACAAATATCCTGGTTCACTGGCCGCCTGCTTGCTTGGGGTCCTTCCTGCTAGGCTCACCGACTCCCATCACCACCACCTCCGCCGAGTTCCATTGACAACGAATTGATCGACTTGTCACGAATCCCCAACCACTACCATGATCTAGCTCGAGTGTTCCAAAAGGTACCAGCCTCCATTCTTCCTCCTCACCAGCCTTATGACTTCGAGATCAAGCTTCAACCTGGAACCATTCCCCCGAGAGGACATCTTTTCTCACTATCCCCGGCGGAGACCCTTGCCATGGACGACTATTTCCAGGAGGCCCTTCGGCAGGGGTTCATTTGTCCCTCCACTTCCCCGGGAACGGCAGGTTTATTCTGCGTCAGCAAAAAGGATGGGGCACTACATCCCTGTATTGATTACCGTGGCCTAAACAAGATCACCGTTCTAGACCGGCACCCATTACCCCTCATCAACACTGCCATGGAGGCCACATCTCAAGCTAAGATCTTCACCAAGTTGGACCTCCGAAGTGCCTATAATCTCATCCTGGGTCAAAGAAGGAGGTGAGTGGAAAACGGCCTTCATCACGCCCACCGGACACTGGGAGTGTCTTGTGAGGCCGTTTGGTCTTTGAAACAGCCCTGCCATGTTTCAACGTTTTATCACTGATGTTCTCTGAGACATGCTCGGTTGGTGGGTGTTTGCGTATTTGGATGACATCTTAATATACTCCCACACTGAAGCCAAACACTAACAACACATCCGAGCTGTCCTAACCCGCCTACTCCAAAACCACTTCTTCTGCAAATTAGAAAAGTGTACCTTCCACCAGACTTCCACCTCTTTCTTGGGCTTCACCATCACCTCTGACGGCCTAGCCATGGACCCTCAGAAAGTCCATGCTGTAGTTCATTGGCCCCAACCAACATCACTCAAACAACTCCAAAGCTTTCTCGGCTTTGCCAATTTCTACCACCGGTTCATTAGGAACTTCAGCTCTGTGGTGTCTCCTCTCACTTCTCACACCAAAGCCACGACTCAACCCCGACCCTTCCATCCCACGCCTGAAGCTGTCAAGGCCTTACACTCCCTGATTCACCGTTTTACCTCAGCGCCCATCTTGCTCCATCTGGACACTTGCAAACCATTCTGTTGGAGGTAGACGCCTCGGATGTGGGTGCAGAGGCAGTCCTCTCACAACGTGGCTCCAACAACAAGCTTCACCCTTGCTCCTACTTCTCCCGGAAGTTCACCCCCACGGAACAGAGGTGTGGTGTGAGAGATACAGAACTGCTGGCCATTAAATGGGCCCTTGAGGAGTGGAGACACTGGCTACTAGGAGCCACAGACCCTTTTACCATCTGGACCGACCACCAGAACCTCATCCATATTCAAACCGCCAAGCAGCTTTACCCCCAACAGGCCAGGTGGGCCCTTTTCTTTGAGCCCTATAACTTTGTCATTGCTTACCAACCCTGCTCCATGAATCTTAAACCTGATGCCTTGTCGTGTCAATTCACTCATACAGAGCGTCCGTCTAACCCTGGGTCCATTCTGCCCTCTCACCGCTTCCTGGTCGTGCTCCACTGGCCACTAGAGGAGTCCATCCAGAAGGCCCTTCTCCATGAACCTGCACCCCCCGAGACACAAAAGAACCATCTCTATGTGCCCAAACCCTGCCGTCAAGAAGCCTTGACCTAGGGTCCCTCCTCTAGACTGTCAGGACACCCTGGACGGTCTCGGACCTTACAGTTTCTCCAGCGGACTCTCTGGTGGCCGGGGATGGCTACTGATGTGAAGAACTACACCGCAGCCTGCAAAGTTTGTGCCCGTTCCAAGTCCCTGAATACACCTCAACCCGGATCTCTACAGCCACTTCCAATACCCGAAAGACCATGGTCGCATGTCGGACTCGACTTTGTCACAGGTCTCCCAGCAGTCGACGGCTTGAACACTGTTCTAACCATCATTGATTGTTTCTCTAAGGCCGTCCACCTAGTGGCCCTTACCAGCCTCCCGACCACTAAACAAACATGTCGTCCGGCTCTACGGCTTCCCCACAGATGTGGTGTCAGATCGTGGTTCCCAGTTCACCTCCCGGTTCTGGAAGGCTTTCTGTCATCTGGTCAGGTCCACATCCAGCTTCTCGTCTGGTTACCACCCGCAAACCAATGAACAGACAGAGCGCACCAACCAGCAGCTTGGGCGTTACATCCGGAGATTCGTGGCCTCTCAACCATCCCTATGGCCCCGGCACCTCCTTTGGGCCAAACTCTCCCATAATCTGCATATCTCCTCCACCACGGGCCAATCACCTTTCGAAACCTGTTATGGCTATCAACGGCTCTTCCACCACGAAGAGGTGGAAGTTACTGTCCCTGCAGCCCACACCTTTGTCCGCCGCTGCCTCTCAGCTTGGATTAAGGTTTGTGCCACAGTTGCCCAGACTAACATGCAATCTACTCGTCAACATTTGCGGCACCACCATCCCGGGCCTTCTTACCAACCCGGCGATAAGGTGTGGCTGTCCACCGCCAATCTCCGTCTCCAACCTGGGACAAGAAAACTCTCGCCCCGATTCCTGTGCCCATACCCAGTGATCAAGGTAATCAATCCCGTTTCCTACCGTCTCCGGCTGCCGGCCAGCCTGCTGATCCACCCGGTCTTCCACACCTTCCAAACCATGTACCCCTTCCCTCTCGACCCCTCCTTTGGGCCCCCACCCCCCACCCAAATGAAACAAAAATACTTATTTATTCATTATTCCCACTTTTCCACATTTTCCCAACACACCTCCCCTTCTATTGAATACAAACACAGTGTATTTAGTAGTTCATACACTGGACACACATCTCCAGGTATTTAAATGCTTACACACACACACTCACACACACGTGGGAAGTGTTCATCTCAAACCCACCCCCACACTCTGAGCTCTATCAATGGGAATCTTGTCCCCGTTCACCAACCAGCAGGAAGAGCCATGCTGGTCCACATTCCTCACAGAGAGAGAGGAGGGAGGAAGGAAGGGAGGAGGAAGGTTGAGTGGGTGACACCAGGATGGCAAAAGTGCAAAGGGGTAACTTATGTTGGGGAAGATGACTTAAAAGAGCTGAAAGGCACGTGAGTAGATAGTGGAGCTAGGAGGAAGAAGGAGTGCAGGAATTAGGAGAGCTGGGCTCGAATGGAAAACTCCGGTGAAAAAAGGCCATTGTGTGTCCTGTGTGAGGCACCGCACTCGGCAAACCCTCAGAACAATCTGAGCCCTGTTTGTGAGGGGAGAAGAAGGAGAGGGAGGAGGACAGGGGGGTGTGGAGAAGGAGCTGAACTGGACAGAAGCTGTGGTTTACCACAGACCTAAACGCTACATGATGTCCCACAGTCTCTAAGTCACACGGGAGACCATGAACACCGTGTATGGGTTTAGATCTTTAGGTTATTCTCTTTTGGAAATATGCCTAGTATTTATTTATATTCTTGCCTTTTTGCACATGAATCACTTGATGCATTCAGGTGAGCTTTGCACCTGTCAGCATCTTTGTGTGGTGCTCTGTAAATCTGTTCCTAAATCAGAGTGTCTGTGTCTGTGAACATCGTTCTTTCGCGCCGCTATGTAACACTGCTGCTTCTGACTTCACTAATGTTTATCAGGTTAACTCTGTTAAGATGTGAAAGGAAGCTGAGCTAGAGACTGACTTGGGGTGTTTGTTGAACATGATCGGTAGAAACTCATCAACGGGCAGCATTTTGGTGAAGGGCTGGGCAGCCAGTAACTTTCTGGCACCCTGCTGGGACAGCGCGTAGCCCAGGGTCCAGTAGGAGTAGTCAGCCTCCACCAGGTTGTTCACTCCGTCCACCGACTGCTCTGGGTGTTGAACCTGCATCCGTTTACGCCCCACGTAGCTAAAGGGAACATAAAAAACTCATCATAGTGTTTGAAACCAATCCAGGAACAGACGTTCAGGTAAAAATTAAAAGTTCTTACATGAGGTCCCAGTCCAGCTGAGCCCTGTCGATGTCATCCATGATGGCCTGAAGCCTTCGTTTAAACCTGGGCTCAAACCTCACATCATCTTCTAAAACCAGAACCTTCTGGAGGCCTCGTTCAACTACCTGATTGTCAGAAAACACAAACAAGTTAAGGTGGTGAAAGCTGCAGCTTTTTTCTCCTCTCCTTTTTATTTTAGCTGATCCTTTGGGAGCAGCTTTTGGTAAGTGGAAGCTGCAGACATTTGTCTTCAACTTGCCAGAGATGAATTATTTAGAAAAAAGAAGTTTAAAGCTTTTGTTGAGATTTAGGATCACCTGAGTCCAAATAGAGTGATGGCTCAGGAAGCAGCCGATCTCCCCTCTGGTGAGGACTCGACCCGAGTACGGATCCTTGTAGCCTGGCAACATCTCAATACCCAGAGCCTGAAGCTGGGATGTATTCAGAGCCCTGAGAGGACAAGAAATATTTAAAAACGCCAATAAAGGGAGAGGTGTGAGTTACTGCACTGTGCAGAAGTTTTAAACCAACCTCAATTGTTTTATTTTTTTCCTACCAAGAAGACAAATTTACTGAAAATCTGTCAAGTGAAAGAAACAGTCCAACAAAAGAGCGATGATGTTTGTAGACTGCACAGTGCTATAATTGTCAGCAAGAAGGGTATATTGCAAAACAGAGCAAAGAAACATGTAACAGCCTGCCAAGCAGACAATAAAAAGGTGAAAAGGGGATTAAGAGATACTCAGCGGTGGATTTAAACAGGCAGAGAGCTGAGACGATGTAAGACAGAGCTTTAGACAACTCTTAGGTGTGTTCTTGCTGTGTCGTGGTTCTAATTCCATACTTTCGTTATTTTTAAACACAGAAACAGTTTTGTTTACCTGTTTTGTAGCTACAGTTTCGCCGACGGCTGCCGGCTTCTTCAGGCTGACGCTGATGGTGGCGCGTCACTTCCTTCTCCGTTTATCTGCGGGCAGCAGAGGACGTTGTCCTCCATCGCCACCATCAGCGTCAGCCTGAAGAAGCCGGCAGCCGTCGGCGAAACTGTAGCTACAAAACAGGTAAACAAAACTGTTTCTGTGTTTAAAAAGAACGAAAGCATGGCTTTAGACAACTGTTGTCAGAAAGGCAAATTAGTTTGTGTTTAGGTTTGAACGTTTGTGACCTACTTTCCATCTACTGCATCTATCAGCATAGCATGCAGACCCAGAGAGGCCATTGTTTTCAACATCCTGGTTCTTCTGTCCAGACGGCGTTTCAGATTAATCAGGAAGATCTAAACAGGAAAATCCTTTTACACTCTCTAAATACCAGTTCTGTTTCTTTACGTGTTATTCACAGAGAGTAAAGGCATTGGACACAAAAACTGGAGTAAAAAAATCTGAATTTAACCCTCCCACTGTCTTCATGGGTGACCATGAAGACAGTGGGAGGGTTAAAGAAAAAAAGTTGTTTGGTTGTCAGATCTCTCAGGACTCACTTCATCAAAGCCCATCCTGTTTGGCAGTGAGGGCAGAGAGTAGACGTACTCCGATGGATCGATCTCGTGGTCAACTGTTGGCATCAAATAGGAGGAGGTCAAAGGTTAAATAGAAACAAAAATAGGTTTAGAATATGGCAGAACGTCTACTGGGTTGAAGAGGGAGGAGCAGAAGAGGTGCGGCATGATGTAGTTACAGAAGAAGGTCATGGAGGTCAAGAGTGGGAAGAAACAACCCTGTGTGCCCCAGTCGTGTCCAAACATTTAGAGAGAGAGAGAGAGAGAGAGAGAGAGAGAGAGAGAGAGAGAGAGAGAGAGAGAGAGAGAGAGAGAGAGAGAGAGAGAGAGAGAGAGAGAGAGAGAGAGAGAGAGAGTGCGTGTGTACTCACTCAGAGCTTCTGTAATGGTATGTATGAAACTTTCTCTCTCATCCTCTACGTTTTGTTGGGGCTTGAGGGGAACGGGCAGGAAACCATAGTGCTCCCTGTTACACACATACATCTGCACACCTAACACACACACACACACACACACACACACACACACACACACACACACACACACACACACACACACGTTCCTGTAAACATAACCTCTTAACTCAGACATTCCAAACAAACTAAACTTGATGCTCGGATCTTCTCAGATCCACACAATCACCACCTAAAAGTTAGGAGGTCTAAAAGTCAGACAGTTCCACTGTCTTGGCCTTAAAAAGGTCAAATGTATAAAACTGTTTGCTCAAAGGCAAAAGCCTCAGAGGTCAAAGGAAAGGTCAAAGAGGCAGGTGTTGCTCGCACGATGGACTGAAGAGGAAAATGTTTTATGCTGCTTTGTCCTGTCCCATCCAGACTACTGCAGTGCCTTGTATGCCAGTCTGAGTCAGGACGCGATCGCAAGGCTGCAGCTCATCCAGAACTCGGCTGCAAGGTTTCTGACAGGCACTAGACGCGGGGAACACATCGCTCCAGTGTTGGCGGAAAGAGTTACCTTTGAGTGTTAAGCAGGCGCCATCGCTTTTTGCTTGAAGACTCATTTTGATGTTGTGGTGTTTCAACATTAGGAATCACAACACTGCCTTGATCTTTATTTGTTCATTAATGTACTGTATTGGATTGAAAGTTAAGCGGACCAATGGTTCAGATGATCCACCTGGAAGAAAAAGATCCTTTGGTACACCTTTAACATGTTTTATGACCATTTCCTGTTTCCTGTTCTCTTAATGTTTTTATGATTGTAAAATCTAAAATAAATTAACTGAACTGGAGTAGAAATATGCCTAAAATTTTGGGTAGTTGCACTACACACAGGTTGTCATTTAAATGAAATAAATGTTTTAATTTTCCATCTTTGAATTTAATGAACCAGCAGCTGCTGAGCTGAAAGAGTTACAGATGATCATCGGTTTGTGGTCGTCTCTACGAGAGTCTCCTGTTCTGTTGCCAGTTTCAAACTCACCTGCTTGGCGTGCCGAAAAGGCGAACACCATGATGTCATCAAACGCCCAGCTGTAGTCTGGGTGAGGAGGGTAGAAGGTCAAGTCCCGGCTGGAGTCACGGCGCAGGTCCAACAGGAATGTACTGTGAATCATGGGAACGGGGAAGCAGCCGAGCCGCTTCCACTCCCTGATGGGCTGGTAGTCTGGGGTTCTCTTGTAGTAACCCTGAAACGTAGGTGGGAGGTTTAGAAAGCTTCGCTTCAGGTACAAACTCAGAGTGGAAAGATTCAAGCCTAAACTGCACCTGGGGGGTGATGCCACACCAGAAGTTAGAGTAGAGAGAGCGAGACTCCAACATGGGAGCCACCAGGGTCAGGTTCTCGGCCATCAGCAGTTTCAGCACTCCAGGGTTGGTCAGCAGGTTGTCACTGTCAACAAACTACAGAGGAGCAAGCCGTCAGGATCCACGTTCAGCACCAAGGGGTCTCTACTTCACGTTTTATTTAAAATATTCAAAACAGATATTAACAAATAAGAGTAATTTAACCTAAATTGAACTGAATTCACTGCTTCATGTCTGAAATATATAAACTTACATACATGCATGCTAACTTCTCATAGTTTCACATGTTCTCTCAGGCAGCCTCTTAGGTATCGATTTCATTGATTTTTACAATATAGGCATACCCACTGTCAGTAGGTGGCGTTGTATGAGGTCAGACATTAAAGTGGTTTATGTGCAGGTGTACCATCAACAGCTGCATGTATTCTCTGTAGTTCACATCTTTATAGAGTTTCTAGACTGTTCCATAATTCTACTCCTTCACACTGAAATACACAGCTGCTTTAAAGTAGTTCATGAAACTTTTAAGATCAAATGTTCTGGGTTTGTGTTTAAAATGTGTTACCAGGATGTAGTCGGCCCATCGTTCTCTAGCAGCCTTCAGAGCCGCCTGTCTCAGCTTCATGACGTGGTTGAATCTAGAAGGAGGCCAGTGCTTTGGACCCCACTCGTCTGTGTAGGACCTGATACACGAAACACCATCAACTTTCACCATAAAAGAAAGAAAACAAGAACTGCTTCCGTGAGTAGGAACCAACCTCGGCTCCTCCATCGGTCTCCACTCCACATAGTGGTACAAGCGCTGGGCCCGCTTCAGCCATTCTCTCAACATGGCCGTGGTGTTGTCCACATTGTGGTCTGTCGCTGCCCTGTGATACATCACAGACAGTCAGTCATTCAAGTGCACAGCCATTGTTTTAATTTTTTTTAATTATTATTATTATTTGGACATTGTGAAGAAACGGCCTCAGCATAGGCGCACCGCTGGTCAAATTCTGAAGAACCTCAGTAAAAACAGACATATCAGGTTAAATATCACGGAACAGGTGCAGGCTCACCTTTCCCTTGTGGTCCTTAAAACCGAGCATAAATCCTTTAAAAATATTCCAAAGCAAAATAGCATCAGTTTACACATGATGATGTTTTTATTTGTGGGAGATTTAATTCAGGAAGAGTGCAGCTGCTGTGGTTCACACCCTGCTTCTCTGCTGAGGTTTCTGCTTCAGCTGGCTCCGAGAGACCACTGTAGGCAAGCGTGTGTGTGTGTGTGTGTGTGTGTGTGTGTGTGTGTGTGTGTGTGTGTGTGTGTGTGTGTGTGTGTGTTTGAAGAGTTTATGCAAAAGTAAGAAAAACCCTGAACAAGCTCCAATACTTCACTTTATCAGATAAAATTGAATAGTGTCACAAAAGAAAATAAATATCAGTCGTTCCTTTCCATTGCTGCACTTAGACAAAGTCATTTGGAGAAAAAAGTCAACAGAACATGAGGCAAAAGCTGGAACTCAGCTGTGTGTGTTTGTTTACACACACACTTGCTCAGGAGTTTTCCATTGCTTGCTGTGGGATTCCTCATGGCACCATCTCCATAATACCAGCCAGTTTAAGCAGAAATAGACACAGATAGAAACTTGAACACACAAAATGAAAACAGAAAATATTTCATTGTAAATAAAAACATATTCTGTGTAACTTATGACGATAATGATAATAATTCTGATGTGGAGACCAGAAACCACTGGGTCAGTAACCCTAATAGCACATCTCTGTGTGCATGTACGAGCAGATTGTGGCAGAGCAGAAGGACGATCATTTTTCTGTCCTGGGAATGTTTTTTACAGCACCGCGACCTGTTATTTATGAGTTGCCCCAGTGCTAGTTTAGAGTTTTAAATGGGCGTGTTAAAACACTCGGTGAGTCAAAAGTAAAACTTGTGTGCATCGCTGCAAAACGGCACAACCTTTGATGACTATCTGCTGTTTTTTTTATCACAGGTTAGGTGAAACACCTGACTCTGGTAATGGAGGGATGTGCTCACACTTCTGCACGACTTGGAAAAATAAATGTGCTCCTACATGCCACAAACTGCAGACTTGGCTCCAGGCACAGATTTAACCTGAGACGGCTTCTGAGAAATCAACAAATCTGGGACTTTATTTTACAAGTAAACAACTTAAAATCTGCACAGATCTCTCAAAAAGTTCTTAATGCATGTGGTAATTCAAGAAAGCAAGTTGATAAGGATTACAAAACTTCCAAGGAAAACTTCACAGAGCTCATTAATACACCTTCAGGATCTACTTACCTGGCAGTACTTGCTACTTTTATTATGGTTCAACAACAATGGGAACTCTTACATAAAAATAAGACATTTTACTGAGAACAGATGTTCCAAGTGATATTCGCAACTTTTTTTTTTAAGTTTACATCCTTCTGTGAATTCCAGCTGCTGTAAACTCAACAGGTTTAGTGCAGTGTGTGATTTTCCACCACAGCCATTACACCCCGGTGCGCTCACTCTTCTCTGGATGTGTGACACTAAATGACGTGTGCTTGCACACGTAAAAGAAATATGCTTTCCTCTGCTTTTTCTTTGTTTCATTCAGTTTTTTGCAGAATCGCTCCCATTCAGGAGGAAAGACACTGGTATGTGTCCTTTCTCCTCTATTTCTTGTCTTCAGGCAAAAGAACGGCAGCTGCAGCTGAACCAAGCCTATCTGTGACTCCGTTGCCAAATGAAAGAATCTGCAGCTCTTTTCAAATCCACTAGAGTGTTTTGATCATCTGTCATTGTGAAGTAACATCAAAAAAGGCATGCACCTTTTCCCTGAAAGCTGCACATGAAAGAAAAATACACTAATCTACTGTTTTAGCCTTAAATCACCTCTGTTCAGCCCTTCCTACCTGTTTCTCTCTTTCTACTGCCACATGCTGTGTTACTTTATTGAAGTTTACAGTAAGCAGGAGTCTCATTATTATGTTGCCTGCAGCTCTGGGATTGGACTTCCTCTTTCCTTTGAATTTATGGGAAGCATCTGGACAACATATGCATCCCAAGCCCTCACCTACACGCCCCACCACTCCCTCTGGAGAGATGTCCACTTATTCCTCTTGTTATGTAATCTCAGGCTGTCTCTCATGAGATCTGTGCCGTTTAGAGGTGATTATCATCTTTAGAAAGTTGATGGGTGCATTCTGAGATAGAGTGAAACCTCATGGAGATTGCTGTTTTTGTTACACTGTTATATTAAAAAGACCTAAATTTGTGCACAAATCACATCTACCTCGTGCAGCTATAACAGCCCTGACCGATGGAGGGATGTGAGGGGAGTTCTGAGACCCGGTTACGGGCGTTAGATCCTGCAGGTTTGCAGGGAACAGATGAAGAACTGGGTTTGTTCCAGTGGATCTCAGAGATGTTCAGTCAGAAAGTTTAGACAACGGATCAACACCTAGAGCTATGTTTGAAGTGTCCGCCTAAACAGTGTGCATAAAGGTGACCAGAGTTTTTCTGTTTTATTGTTCGTGGTTTTATTGTGGTGGTTACGTTAAAGCCACAAATTGGAGAGTTCAGCACAAGGTTTGAATCCTTTTTATGAGCAAAATCCAGCAAAAAATAAAAAAACATAGAAATACAATGTCCTTTTTATCCGTTTCTCAACCGTTCTTCATTCTGGCGATCTCCCTCACTGCCTCTGGTAATTATCCACTGCAGTAAAGTGTGTTGGATTATCAGACCTTAAACACAGGGGCTTGTCTCTGAAACCGACCCTTTTCGATAAACACAGGTCTGAAAGGACCCACAGTTTCAGCTAACTGTTGATTCAAAAAACATCTAATATTATCGCCAAGAACGACGTTGCCTCATGCTATTAGAGAGCCCGAGTCCCTTTCTCAGACCCAGCCGCTGATGCTCCTAGCACCTAATACCTGTACTTGTTTTGTAGTTTCTAAGCTCATGCGGCTGGGCTGTTTTGTACTTTTTTGTTTGATGGCCTGTTTGGGCAAAGGAGAAAGAGGTGGGGGCTGATGGATAGAGGGATGAAGGGGGAAAAAGAATGAGAAGAAAAGGAAGAAAGTGTCACGGTCTGCCCCTGCCTCCCTGACTGGGGCCTAGTCCACACGTAGCCGGGTTTCTTTTTAAAACGAATATCCGCCCCTCCAAAAACTTGCATCCACACCACCTCGTTTAAAAATAAACTCTGTCCACACGTACCCGGATAAATACGTTGTTAAGGACATGCCAGACCTGTAGGCGGCAGTACTTCCCCCGTTCTTAACCTCGTCCTTCGTCTGTGGTCTTCCGCAAGGAGCAGTAATTCCGCTTGCAAAAACAAACAAGCAGAAAGCGCTTGGACAATTGATAAAGCGAGCGCAGCTCTGAGGACATCCATGCTGTCGGCTAGTGTAAACACAGGTCGCACACGTGATGTCAGCATATTTTTGTCGCGGAAAGTGACGTTGCGGACCTTAAAACTCCGGTTTTGTCTGTCCACACGCAGACACCCAAAACGGAGAAAACGCAGATCTTCACTTTGGCCGGAGTTTTTAAAAAGATCCGTTTTTGTGTGAAAAAACTCCGTTTTTGTGTGGATGACAGGCCAAAACATAGAAAAATATCTACGTTTTGGCAGATCCCCGGCTACGTGTGGACAGGGCCTGTGTCTCTCGTCTGCCCTTGATTAGTCCTTATTGTTTTCACCTGCCCCTTGTTTACCTGCCCATGTGTTCCTCATTTGCCCTGTGTATTTATACCTCCCTCCTTGTACCAGTCTTTGTCAGATCATTGTGTTGTCAGCGTTGTTTTGTTCTCTCGTTCCCGCTCTGCCATTAAAACCATTTTTTATTTTTTATCCATGCCTGCATTCCTGCCTCCTGGTCTGCTCCACCACACATGGTCCGCCGCCATCCGCTCCTCAACGTGACAGAGGTGTTTTCGGTCAGACGAGACCTCCTGACTGAAATTCCTCACAGCCCCGAGGGTCAACAGAAGTCTCAAAAGCTGACAGTCTCACACAAGTGTGATGTCCAGCACTCATGATAAAAGATGAAAAGAAAGACCCGACCCAACTATTAAAGAACAAATGTGCAGACCGCTGCTGTAAATATTTTATAGCAGGAAAAATAGTTTTTGGTTTTGTGTCATTTTTAGTCCAATTAAAGATGTTTTATGAAGACTTTCTTGACCTTTAGTTGCTCCAAACTCTTCTGCAGTTTCTGATTTTTGTGCATCTTCATTCCAGTATCAGCTTTTATTACCTTTCTACAGTGCATAAGCCAGATTTGCAGTCTAACACAATCCAGTCCGAGTCTGCAGAGCAAGAAGACACTCGGTTTGACATTTTGTGGCATCAAAGCACAGATATTCTTTCTACAATATTAAATGTTTTTGCTTAGTTGAGTTTTACTGAACCTGCTGAAAAGAAGGGGAAGAAAACAAATAGAAGATGCATGAAGATGGGCTGCATGGTGGCGCAGCGGTTAGCACTGTTGCCTCGCAGCACGAAGGTCGCAGGTTCGAAACTCGGCTGCGGCCTTTCTGCGTGGAGTTGCGTGTTCTCCCCATGCATGCGTGGGTTTCCTCCGGGTACTCCGGTTCCCCCCACAGATCACAACATGCCCTATATAGGTTATAAATTGTAAATCGCTTTGGATAAAAGCGTCTGCTAAACAAATAAACAGAATAAACAGAAAATGATGAAAAGAGAGCTGGAGGAGCAGAAAGTAAACAAAAAAAGTGGAATCATGAAAAGGGGGTTAAAGACGCAGGAACCTGAGTTTTAGAACATTTTCTCAACAAAAACCTGAGTCATAATCTTTGTTTCACTGATAATGTCTTCCTTTCTCTTTGCCGCCATGCCTGGGTTGTTTC